GGTCAACTTTCCAGAATTTGGAAAGTACAATGTGATTGGCTAAGCTTGGGAAAGGAATGTTGTTTTCCGTTGAGCAGGCGTTTGTGGGGAGGGAAGAAATACGAGCTCCCCTAAAAACGCCCGCGTGGGAGGCTACCAGGCTAGTACAGCCTGTTTATATGGGTTCGGACAAATTTTTGAATGGACGACAAAAACGTACACAGATCTGCCTTTCGTTTACACGGGACGAGTAGAAAAACTTTTTTGACCGGTACGGCCTCACTTTTTCGTTGACTCACGGTGTTAAGACCTGAACTGTGCAAGTTTTTTCACAGTTTATGCGGTAAAAGCCAGGAGCCTTATTACGCGCCTTTGCCAAAAAGAGCCATTCCAATGCTGATACTAGCTAGCAAGAATTTCTACGGACTCGTGTAAACAGTACTGTAACAGATTTTGAACGGTTCCGTATGGAAGGATTGCGCAGGTTTAAAATTCGTCCCTTAGAAACTTGTCCAGACCTGTGTAAACAGGGTATAATACGCATCATTTACTTTGTTCGTTGAAAACGCTGAATACTGTATTGTTCCTGTTGCGTGCTTAAAATAAAAGGACACAGTTATGTGTGTGTACCGTTGTTACGTTGCTTAAGACTAGGGGTAGGCATGAATAGATTGTGCTAGTAAATTCAGGAAAAGTTGCTTCACAATATACCCAAAAGTTGCTCTAAAGTTGCTCAAATATCAAAAAGTTGCCACAAAAATTTAGAAAAGTTGCTTGCTCTAGAGTCGTTTTGTTTTAGATAAATATTCAAAACGTGTTTGTTTGTTTGTTGCTATTTAAACATTTTCATTAAATATTTTTACAATCATTAAAAGAGGCCAAAAGCCATTGTTATATGACAAATATAAATACTATGTTGTAATCAATATACTCTTACAGATATACAGATAGCCGCTGTCCAGATTTCGTGGGCGTAATGCAAGTGTTATTTTATTGTCATTTTATTGTATATCCTTAGTTTTAATAAAATCAGTTTTGATAAAACCAGTTTTAATAAAATCCTTCGAAATGAAACGACCTTGTATGGTTTGGATCGGTTTTATATCAATTTGTTGCTGAAAAGTTGCCAAGGAAGGCAAAAGTTGCCCTAGTTTGCTGGTACTACAAAGAGTTGCTCAAAACGCTAAAAGTTGCTCAAAAGTTGCCGAGCACAATCTATTTATGCCTAACCAAGATACCTCTTTCGAGTATTAGATAGGGTTATAGAGGGAGAAGACCCGAAACGCGAAACGTCCCCAGCGGCGAAGAGCGAGGAGAAACGGACGTTTTCGCAGGCTAGGATTAGCCCCGACTGTACTGGATACGAACCCACAAAAAGGTTGTTGTTTTTGCACCAGAAACCTTCCACATCCGCTGTGTTGACTCCACAATGCAGAGTGGCTATTGTCGCGTATTCCCGGGAAGGGGGGGGGTACTCATTGAAAATTCTTGATGAAGATGTGACAAGCGGTTCTCCAATATCCTGATCCCCGATTTCAAATCCAAAACACGACAGTTTCCTCACCTGTTTTCAGACCTCGTTTTTAAAAGTTCTACTCAGTTTTGTGAACCAATTACCTTATCTAACGTGAAGATTTCATTTTAAACTCGGTTCGAATGATATATTTCGTTTATTTTTCTTTCTTTTGTATCCATTTGGAGCTGTTTGGAGTTGAAAAGATAAATAAGTTTATTCAGTGCCGTGGCTTCCTCGAAAATCATACTCAATTTTAGACCGTAATGGGCAAAAACGGCTGAAAACCACACCCGTCGAGGTGGCACATACCCATGTTTGTGGAGTACTTCCCACCCCGGGCCGCGTATTGTGTAAACTGGGATTGAGTTCCCAACCGGTTTTATATAGGGAGTGGGTCATCATTTCAGTAAAAAAGCTCCTTTCACAATAAACGATAATTATAAAATAAAGAAAAGAAAAGATAACGAAAAAGAGAAAAAGAATTGAAAAAGATAACGCGGTTTTTCTCAGCCTTCCGGCCGGGCAGTGGTCCCGGTATGTAAAACAACGTACCACGTGACAAATTAGCATTATGGACAAGCATGCATAAAATGGCGGAGCAACTAACACATATCGAACCTCCTTGGTCTGTATAGTGAAGGAATTTGTTACCTTTTGATCCTTAACAAAGGTATGGAGTTAAGGAATTTTCCTTTTGCGAATTTCGCTGCATGTTGTTTATGTACTCGCAAAAAATTACAAACCTGAAGCGGTTCATAAGTGGATCTTCTATTGAAACCGCGGTGATTTAGAAATCTGTTTAATGAAGTTAAAACGCGCGCACGAAATTCACTACTGGCTGCTCTGTTTATCTAACGTTTTTTTTTTCCATTTTACAATCTGTCGTATATTTTACTTCATTTAGAAAGAGATTATAATTTTTTAATCGGCGCGAGAGTTTTTCAAGGACATCGAATTGTAAAGATTACTTCTAGCTCATCGAAGGTTACGCTGGAAGCCATTTGAGATAAGCTCGATTCATTATTTTATATTACCTCGCCCAGAGGGCTGTGACTTTCTTTTGCGAGTCTTATTTGAAATTCAAAGCATAAATTTAATTTTTCAACGGTAAAGTCGAAATGGAGGTGTATTCGATATGACTAAACAGCTGGAAAAATTGACCGGAAACTGAAGGCTACAACCTTTCATGAAGCCAAGGTCTTGATCGTAGTAAATTTCGTTTTAGCTTGTTCTCTAGCCGTTGATCAATTTTCTTGGGTCTGAAAGAATGCCCTTTTTCAGATGCTTTCGAGCTTCTTATTTAACCAAACAATGAGTGTTTTCATAGTCATCAAGATCGCGAAATTTGACAGAGGTCACTGTTCAACGTAGAAGTAATCCTTACCCATAATCGCTGAAAATGAAATCGCCTGTTTTCGTTTTAGAGGTCAACACTTTGTAAAAACAGGTAAACACTTTTGAAAGACTTCTTTGGAGGATCCTTTTGTTACATGTCGTAGTTTTTTATATAAAATGGGTCCAAAATCGGTGAAAGTTTCTGCAAATGAAACCTCATGCGTCCTCTAGTTTGATGTTTACGCCTTAAATGTTTTGGATTGCGATGTGATGAGATAAACAAAGGTTGTTGCTTTCATTCAGTTTGTACCAAGCCATGCCTCCAATTTCGTGATTGAGTTTCTGATGGCATTTCAAACAGTAATTTGGCCTCATATATTATGTAGGTCGGTAAAACAGCTAAATGTAAGATCTTATTCTTGGGTACCAAAAGGTTTAAACCCTGGAAATTGTGGAAATATTTGTGATCAGACGCTAATCGATTTTTGATAATGAATGAAAGCGTTCTGACTGGAATCAAAATGTAATAGTGAACTTCTCCTTTTTGCCCCCATGGATGAGTATTTTGAGCCTCTTTGAAGTGATATTATAAATTTTTGAAGTTAAGCAGATTAACTGATATATCCTTCTTTCCTAAATAAAAGACCGTGTCCCTTATGCCACCACAAAAATGTAATCTGAATTTATTTTTAATAAAGAAAAGTTTCATGAATGAAGTCATGAGAGAAGTCCATTAATTAAGTTGAGCTGTTGAACTTGTAGAGTGGTAGTAAATTGTATTCCCAAATTTTGTGTTACATCCTTTAACAAAAATAAAATGTCAGGTCAATTATCTCCTCATTTTAATTAAAACCTAATGAATGGCAAGATTAATTAATATTGGCTCACACACACCTGCTAATCACCATCAAGTATTGGCGGCAGTAAGGTAATTTTTGTTCATATAAAGGAATTTGAAAATTGGAGGAATTTTGTCAATACAGTTGAATCTTTACTCTCCTACTTCACAATTAACCGAAACGTGAACTGCTGGATAAAAGGTTTCACTGGGAATTTTTTAAGATGATACAGAAGGAAAGTGAAGCTTGTCCACTAAAGGACTCCAAATCAAAACGGGTGTAAGTTAGAAATTTCCTCTTTAGTTGTAAGCAATAGTAACAGTGTTTAAGCAATCCACAGAGAATTAAATGCTATTTCATCTAAGTTAGTTATGACCTAAAGTTAAATTAGGTAATATTTTTGTATGTTCTGGAAGAGAAGCAGAGTGTTCAGTAGGCTTTGGAAATTGTCAATTTTCCGTTTACTATACATAATTTTCTGGCTAACGTCAGATAGCCTATGACTATTATTGGCAACAAGCAGCCTCGCGAAGACACAAGGCTGCGAGGCGGAAGCTAATAGAGCCGTGGACGGTTGTTCCAGGGGCAGAAAAAATCCCAAATTGATGTAACGTAGAGTAATGTAAGGCAGCCATGACGTAATGCAGAGAATGCATCGTTTTGGAGCAAACACATGATACAGATCAGAGAATCCACGAGCCGTGTGCGTGTTTGTGAGTCCCATGCTCATCCCTTCTTCAGCCAATCGTTGGGTGGATCATTTTCATCCTACGCGATGTCTGTCGCATTTTGCGCGGTGGAATTTTTCATTGCATGCCGCTAAGAAAAATAATAACACGGCAAAATTTTTTGTGTCTTTGAAACAAAATAATTTGTAAGGCTTCATTGGTGCACCATAAATTTTGTTAGCTTTAAAAAGAGACCAAATATAAGTCTGTACGTGGAAAATTCCTGGACTTATAATATAAATAATTTTTCGAGGATTTTAAGTTTGCTTATAACACCACTAAATTTTACACAAAATGACACGTTCACAACTTCGGACAAAAACACAAACTTCAATATCTCGAAAAAATATGCTGCATAAAGTCAGCACTTCAAATTCTTTATGCAGTAGAACAGTTTAGTTCACTATTTTCAAAAGAGAAATTAGAGCAAGGGGCACACATACGCCAAACCCATGATCTGCCTTCCCCGTGCATGTTGTGGGAGAATTGCCATGCGGTTCCCAGCCATCAGCGCTGACATGTGTTGTGTGGAGCTGGCACTTAAAGGACTCACAGCAGGAAAGGGTCTTTTCTACACTGGTTTTCCCCTTCACTGACTATGCCATGCTGATGAGCCCCAGTAAGGGTGAAACAGCTGCCCATGGCTGTCATTGCCCGCGTGATATGGCTGTGCGCATATGTGAGGTAATGGCTAGGCCGTGGGTTGGTGTATGTGTGCTCCTTGCTGTGATTTACTGGTAATTCGTGATCCACCTTCCCCGCACATGTTGTGGTGGAACTGCTGTTCGGTTCCCAGCCAACAGCTCCCACATGTGTTGTGTGGAGCTGGCACTTGATAGACTGCTTTGCACTCACCTCGGCAGTAAGGTGTTTTTGAGACGCGGGTTTTCCCTGTTCATTAACCCAACGGCTGTGCCACGCTGGTGGGCCCCAATAAGGGTGAAAAAGCTGTCTGTGGCTGCCACTGCCCCTGAAATCTTTGCTCGTTGTCACTAAGCGATAGCTATAACTAGTTAATAATTATTGTTCAGGCATTCAGCCTCTTTTAAAATATTCTCATTTAATGTTACACCTTTCTCCTGCTACTAGAAGTGTTAATGAAAACCCTGAAAAGTTGGGCTGCAGTATTTTGTTTATGACAAATTCTTGGAAGCTAGAAATTAAGGTCTTGGTGCAATACAGTACAGGCTACCTTAAGTGCTTTCATGGCCACAAACTTGAAAGAGATAATTATGGTTGGTGTCATTTCTATCCCCTCCCAAAATCAAAATATAAAAGATGGGAAATGTACCTGTGTAACAGTTGTATAATTAAACATGTTTGTTTGCCGATTTCATCTCATAACACCTACTTGGTTGCTTAAATTGTCTTGTTATTAGATCAACATTGAACTTGTTAGTCAGAGACATGGCTTAAAGTAACCTGTTATTTGGCCAAAGCTAGGTTGTCAGATGGTAGGAAATGAATAAAGTTAAGGCAAAGGTCTACACTGTATGTTGAAAACTTTCTCATTCTTTTTGTTTTCTTCATAGGAAGATTATGGAGGGAACAACATCACCCATTTTAGCTGGCAAGTAAGTAATCTCAGTGGTAGAGAATGCATTTTTTATTTCAGTAGCAATGTATTTAGCACAAGCATGCTACATGTAATTGGGGACACTATTTTTACGTCTCCTACGGGAGACGGGACCGATATTTTACATGTACATTGTCATCCAAACCACACAAATGTTTATCTGCTTGCAGTGCAAAGGAAGTACCTTCATTTCTCAGTTATTTTAAGACCCTGAGTTTTGGTCCAGTCCCAGGAATCGAGCCTGCAACTTTTTGTTTTGCAGTCACATGCTCTAGCAACTGAGCTAACACTGTGGCAGTAAAAATCTGGACTACATTATTTTAGTAACCTTAATGTTACAGGTTCGACTCCCAGTATACCTGATTTTTTCTTCTGAAACACCTTTGTCTTTTTTAATCAGGTTAAAAACAGAAAATAAAAACATCTTGGTCAAGTATTCACCGGATTTACCAATCAGATTTCTATCATTTTACATAGACGCATATTATGTTCTATTCCCAGCAGTATGCAGGATGTTTGTCACATGAACCTACGTGTAGGGTGCCTTCTTTTGGGATGATCCGGATAAGGATCAGTGATCCGTGATCACTCAGATCATGGTAGATCAAATGACCTGCCAAATCCCTGTCCAGAGTGGATTCATCGGTTCATTTGATCTACCATGATCCGAGTGATCACAGATCACTGATTCTGATCTAGATCATCCCAAAGGAATGCACCTGTGGTTTGTGGCCTTAGCTCCTACCAGTCTGCTATAACTCAGTGGTAAAGCACGCAGTCGCTGGACTAGCAATAAAAAGGTCATTGGTTTTCTTCCAAGTGGCCTGTGTCGTATGACTGAAAATAGAAATGTAACAAACATTTTCTTGTGCCTGTTACTTACAGTGCACATTACAGGCAAAACATACTTACTTACTGCCTGCAATGCCCAGGCAAAACATACGATGTCATTGTAGAAGTACCAGGGTGTTGCCACATCCTTGTAAGTGGTGATTTAGAGTCTTTTCCGTATGTTTTTTTTTTCAGTATATTAAATGAATCCATTCCCAAAGATGAAGCTGATCAACTTCTTCAAGATCTTCTGCATGAAATGAGTAAGTTTTTGTTGCAGGTGACAAGAAGAGCCTGCAATCCTAATCTCCGTGTTGTTACATTGTGTATTTTGTACAACTGTATGTAGCCAGTATTTGTTTGGACTTCCACTAAGAATGGATGGAATGCACAGAGCGCAATTTGATCACTCGCATTTGGACCTTCTATCACTCGTAACCTGATCACACGTGCTTTGACCATCTGATCACGTGAAACATGCACAAAACACAGCAGCGCACATTGGGGCAAAAGCTTTTTGACCTTTGATCATTGTCGCCTGCGCTCTGTAACCTTTGGTTATTACTAATTAAGTACTATTTTTCCTGTCTTCAAACTGTTATTTTGTTGCTAAAATGATTTATTTTCTTTTTTGCAGATGAGGAAGGTTTTGATGAAATCAGGTTCGCTGCTTATCGATCCGCTGCCAAACTTCTTTTTGTGCAGAGCAAGACAAACTGTAAGACCTAGTTAATTTTTTTTGCCATGATGGTGCAGATTAGCAACTAACTGTTGATCATCTTTTTCTGAGCTGGTGTGGCATTTTGTTAAATTTGCCCTTGGGTGACTAAGAAATCTTAGTTATCCGGGAAGCAGAGAATTGTAAATGAAACTTGAGAATTGAAATAATTGTAGAATCGGAAGTGAATAATGGATCACAACTCTTATTATAGTATTCTCCGATTCTGAGCACTCAATTGGAGAATGGTAGAACGAATCTTGAGAATTTACGTAATTGTAGAATCAGAAGTGAATAGTAGATTAACTCGTATTATACCATTCTCTGATTTAGCACTTATCACATCCTTCTGCCCTGGTTTAGAGTAGCTTAAGCTTTTTTATGACATTATATTATCTTGTAAAGACTGATGTGCAGAGTATCATGTTAACCTGTGCAAGTTCACAGAATTAAAGTTAACATTGAGAATTTTTTGTTTATACTTCCTGATAGTGTACTTGGTTGACGTTTTTAACATGATTGAAGCATTTCGAGAAAATGGACTAAACACTCTTGACCACAACACAGAGCTGCATGAAACACGACTGGAAGCAATCGTATCAAGCATATTTTATGCCTTGAACAAGCGATTGCCCACAACTCATTATATCGATGTTGAGCGGTCAATAAGCTTGGTAACAAACTGGCTTTTATATGCATATGACAGGTGAGATCTGTTGACCTGCAAGGAAAGTTCTTTTAATTTAAAGGAACTGGAAATTACTTTATTGATTATATACGCACAGAAATGAAATGGCAGACTAACCCGCATTCTATATAATTATATTAAAAATAATTCTAACAATACTTCGAGGCTTTAAGGTCAAAATTGCAAATTTTACATGACTCCATTGTCTTGCAGTTCTCAGAAGAGACTTGAAGACAAAGAAAACCAAACCAAATATAGAAAAATGGCCAGAAAGCCTTGGAGTCATGTTAGAAAGTTAATAATTATATCGAGTGTGGGCTATTGTATGCTCCATGGACAAGCAAATCTCATATTTTGTTCACTCAGGGCCATTGCATGCATATCGTACTATAGTTTGTAGACTTGACATTTTGCCTGGGCCCTGACCCATCAAGCAACTGACCTTGTAACTTGCCCAGCTGGAGAGACAGTTGGGTTTTTCAATCCCTGATGTGTTATACAATGTTGATAAAACTTCTTCTTTTACACGTGTATATCAAGGGCACCAAAGGCTAGGCAGGAAAAGGTGCATATTAATTGTTAGATGCACATTATTCATCTGGTAATCAGAATTATGAGGCTACCCAATGAGAAATGTTTTGTTTTTATTCTATGATGAATAAAACCTGTTTATTGTTACTATATTTTTTTAGCTTGATTTCTTGAAAAATAAATTTAAACACATATTACTCAAAAAAATCCTGCCTATTGATCACAGGCGAAGACTAGTAGATTTTATTCCTGCTGGGCAATTTATCTTCTATGCCTGAGCTTTTCGTGGTGATAAAGAAGTAAGCTATATGGCAAGACAAATGTATTCAACTGGCTGAGCTGAGCAAAATGTGAGAGCTGATTGTTCAACAGTCAAGCTAAAATTCAAGTGTTTTTTTTAAAGCTCTGCAATATTTATTTACATGAAGAGGATTTAGTGATCCAGTGAAGGTTCTTAATTATTAGTTAAATATGCAATTTATTTGTTAAAATAATTATGACCTGTTTTGAAATTTCTATTTTATTTTTTGTGGTGTGATTATAATTGCATGTACATTTGTATCTTACTATCCTAATGTTTGATTCAATAGCATAAGAGTGATCTCAGCTGATTCTTCGCTTATTTTTGCATTGCAGTGATGCTATTGGTAGGATACGTGTATTGTCAGTCAAAACAGCTCTTTCAACACTGTGTGCTGGCCGTCTTGTAGATAAACTTAGATGTAAGAAATCACGTATAATCTCAGTCTGTGTTTTACTAGAAAATAGCCATACTCCCCCAAAGGACTGTTGTTTTTAGATTAACACCCTCTGTGACTTGTAACCTTGAATCTAATACCGGTAATAATAATAATAATGGAATTTATATAGCGCTTATTCATCGCTGTTTTAAGCGCTTTACAATGTAAAAAAAAAAAAAAAAAGATATGTTTTCAGGGCTGTCATTAAGGATTAGGGTCTGGGGATTTTCTCCAGCTTCTATAAACATGACCATACCCTGGCTATAAATGGAAAACAGGACCAAAAGAACTTCCTGGGTGTTCACTTCCTTGCATACTAACTGAGGAACAACCATTTTAACTATCATTTTTGCAGCGTTTATCATAAATTCTTCAACCCTGTCTCATGTTTTACTTCTACACCAATAAACCACAAAGTTTTTTTTTTGCAAAATACCAGTTTTATTAGAAAGCCACGTGTCATCTCGGGTGGGGGGAGGGGGGCACCCCCTGCATCCTCCCGCTAGATTCATCCCTGTGGGACTGGATCAACTCTCAAGATCTTAAAATAACTGAGGAATGAAGCCTTTGCCCTGCAAATGGCTAGACTTTCATTTGACTCGGATAACCACATAAAATGGTGGTCCTAAAAATAGTGTCCCCAATAAATTAGTTCTTTCAGGCCAAATACATTGACACCAAAAGTGCATTTTTTGTATGAAAAATCAGCTTTTCACCTTCTTTTTTTTTTCTTGCAGACCATTTTTCACAGATAGAAGATGACAATGGCCTGTTGAACTTCCCTAAGTTTGAAGCTTACCTGAGAGAGTTGTTACAGGTTGGATAAGATTGTACATTGATAAAATTATCTGTAAATCAGATCCCTACTAAAATGCTGCAAAAAAAATACATAAAAAGCATAGATGAGGGCAGTACCTACACTGTAAAAATGTACTTGTATATCTTCCTGTTTTAGTGTTTCAATTGACAAATAATATCATAAAAAACTTTAAAATGCATGAAATTGGAAAGGATTTTCACTGGGATCTTGTTAGTCCCTCCCTCACAAAGGTCAATGGCATTCTCAGTCAATCATTATTGATCATCTCTTCCTAAGCACTAGAATTACCGGTAACAAAAGTTAGGCTCTACCATGCTCCCAGGTACTACATTATTTTAGAAAACGTAATATCAATACACCTGTACTTGCACTTTGTTTCGTTTGTGTGGTGCCAAAGTTCAGTTTAGTTTTTTTTAAAGGCACTTTTATGTCCTACCTCTCATCACAATATTAACTCTGTTAAACTCTACTAACCACATTAGGTTTTGAAGAATAAAACCAGGTTTAACTAAAAAATATAACCCAGTTAATATAACCTAGTTAGCTTGCTAATATTATTGTAATCAACAGGTACTAGTACTGTCTGTTTATAGATCAGCCAAAACTATTCATCATTTTATTCAGTGTTTGTCAGTTATTTTAGGCAGTTTTTCCCTTTTGATAGAAATTCAATAATATCATTATTGTAAGTACTTTTATTTCCTGGGGAAAACAATCTGGCCTTAGATTATTCAACCATATTATTATTTGCATGTTCTGTATCTGCTTAGCAGCAGAGCTTAGAGCAGCCTTCATAGAGGATTCCTTCTTTTGTTTTTCCCATACAAGCGATGCATTTAGTGGAGAGGACGTCTAGTTCACACTCATTAGGCAGCTTTTCGTTAGCTTGCCAGCAAGCTCTTCTATTTGGGCAAGTGAAGAGAGCCACGCGAGAATGGGCAAGCGAGCGGTGAAGCCGCAAGGGGCCTTTCTCTCCCCCCCCCCTGCTTTCGTGTCTCCTCTCCTGTCTACTCCCCCAGATGGAGAGCTTGCTTGCAGTCTACCTTTCTGTTGACTTTTATTTTTTCTTTTCAGCTTCCTGCCGCTGTTGGAGAGGCTCCCACATTTGGCTTTACTGAGCACATGGCAAATAAATTCTTCAAGCCAGAAGGGGTAAGAAGCTTAACTATTACTTACATGACAGTAGTATTTTACTTATTCTGGCAAACAAAATAATTATTTCCTCTTAATGGATATAATTTTTGCATTCCATTGGGAATTTTAGTGAAGTCAGAAATCCAGATGCATACAAAATGTATTTTAAAAAATTAATAATACATTAGCAGTGATTTTGTTACTTCTGCATCCTGTGTCATAAAAATTCCTGAAAACGCAGAATAATTCATAGCATGCGTCCTGTAGGATGCAAAGATCGATCGATCTGAACTTGTGTCTTTTTTTAGAAATAATATTCTTTTTGTGTGATTTCTGTGGTAGTTATTTATTATTTATCACTCTTGTTTAATTACAGGTTAACGCACTCAGCGAGTGAATTATCGGGATTTACATGCACGAGTTCACTAACAATAATCAAGAAATAATTTCAATACTGTACGAGGCTTTGCATTCTGTGGTATTGAAAATTAGAGTTCATTGTTAGTGACCGAGTATAGGCAAATCCCGATAATTTACAAACAGTGAGTGTGTTAACATTTTTATCATTCAAATTGAATGTACTGCACAAAGCTGGCAAAACTGTTGACAACACACAAAAACACCTCAACTATCTTGAATGAAAACTTTAAAATTTGCAACCTTACCTTTCGTAACAGATATTCCCCAAGCAGTTGCTTTCTTGGTGTTTTTAAGGAATTGCATCATCAATAAGAGAATCAATGTCTGCATCTAACAAATGTCAAACTTTGAGTCAGCCGAAACCATGGTGTAATGACAGTGGTGTGTTGAATTTACACCACGGCTATTATACCACGATAATGACATCAAGGTGATTGTTTCATCACAACCCAATATAACGTGGTACAAATCAGCCAATCACAAAATCGGAATTTGTACAGTGTATGAAAGTTGAATAATAATAATGCATTATTTCGTTAAGCCTCTCAACTGACTGCTTTGAAATAGAAGAAGTATATTTTAATTATTTCAGAAAACTAAATTGTATAGTGCTATGTTTTGGAGCCCACGCATTTTCAATTTCCG